AAAACTATTAGACTAAAGAACTATTTAGTCAAAACCGTTAGGCTAAAGAACTGTTTAGTCAAGTTTTGTTACTGTTTTGCACCATAATATAAATGCTAAATTGATGTGCTTGGGAGTATGTTTCCAAATAAAGTCCCCGTCCGTAAACGCTACTTGTTAACTCGGGCATGGCCCCGGGCTGTGGTAATTATGGATAGCCGCTATTGTGTTGACAGTCCCACCCAGAAAGGGGTGCACATTACCTATGTTCTTATTAGTCTAATCATGTGGAATTTGGACCACCGTTGAATTAGTACTATTACGAATTGTGGGACCTAAGTAAGTGTACGGGCTACTTATGGTCGTTCGTAAAATAATGGGGCACATTGGTCAGGAAAGACTCAGGATTTAAGTAAGAAATGAGGTTTTGGAGCATATATGTGGCGACACCGATTAAGTTCACATTGAAGTTTTTGTAAACAAATATTCTATTCCAACTTGGTTATGGATGTTAAATTTGAAACTTTTGTAAAACTTAAATGGTGTTATTTATTATCTGCTGCTGTGACTCGCTTACCTGTTACACCTCGTGTTTCCGCTTTAACGGGGTGTGACACAATTTCGGTTTGTTTGTGTTGAGTATCAATTTGTTTGTTTGTTTGTTTCGAATTTGGTTTGTTTGTTTTCAGTATCGATTGATTCCTTGAACCAACATACATCTATTACTTTGAAATTTTGTACCCATCGATTTGTTAATCAAACATACACCTGTTATTTTGACATTTTGTATCAATTGCTGCTATGAGGAGTCATATAACCCTTTTTAGTTGTATGTGTCATCTCAATTGTGTTGCTTGATTAGTAACAAGTATTCTTTCTCAAAGATGGTAAACATTGTAGATTATGTTCCTTGAATACTACGACCATTGACCTTGAGAAAATGTAAAGACCTTTCTTCACTTTCAATTTTAGTTGGTGGAATTGTATTTTCATTTTAAATTTGATATGCCACCAAGTTGTTGTAAATTTTCCTCTTCAATTTACATTCCGCCGCATTGCGCGGGTAGATAACTAGAATCGATTTAACTTCTTCCAGGAATCTGTGGAGTTTTCTGAGGTAATTATTTCATGTTAGCAAAAAATTTATAGGGTTGCTTTGCAATTTCGAGCTATTAATTTTTCATGGTGTCTGTGCTTTTGATGTTCCTACATGATCATGTTCTGGTTTCAATAGTTGATGCCCTGTATCAGCTTCTGTTTTGTTCAGATTAAGGTGTTTTGAACATGCCTATTTTGATTTAAACCATTGTACTCTCTCAGGTCCATAGCCTTATATGAGTTGCCCTACTTATTTTCATTTTCTTTGTTTCAAGAAAAAAGAGCCTGAGTTTATGACATGGCGAAGAGCTTTATCAAGAAGCTTGAGGCTCAAGTTCGTTTGTTGATTTTATATTCTTTGTTGACCTACAATATCATTTTGGGATCAATGTAATTTAATTTTTTTTAAAGTAAGTCTTAGAAACAAGTTTCATTTGTAATGTTTTTCACATGGTTAGAACATTGATTAAGCATGTTATGGGTGTTCTTTGCATGTTATGGTTCATTGTTGTTTTTACACTTGGTTTGTTAGAGTTGTGGGTTTATTGTTTGAGGAATCACAAAAAACAAATGATTCTTTATATGAGAAACTAGATACTTAAAGCATGAATATTGATATTCCAAGTGTTTGATATTCTTGGTCACTGTATATTGCCTATACCTGATCTCATTTTGATCTGGCATACAGGACATTCCAGTAGTACCGATTGGGAAGAGTCCCAGGACAGATGTCCTTCTAAAAGCATAGAAGATAGTACTGGATGTCGGTGGCTGTGTGGTTAGGTTGGCAGGACTTTACATATCCTTTTACATGCTTGACATATGTTGAAAATGTCTGCGTTTGCACGTCGTGTAGGTATTTACTTCAATTTTTCTCCATGATTGCACGAGAAACTCTATTTTCAATTTACATTTTCAATAGATTTATGTATACTTTGTCTCTTTATGGTGGTTAAAACTAATTTCGAATCCAATATATATATATATATATATATATATTGTTCTATAAATATGTTATTAATAAGATTATGCTTATTCTTCATAACCAAGTTCTTTTAAGTCAATTTAGATTGTAGAACTGAATATAGGTTTACCTTTTAGAGAACATGTGGCCTTGCGAATCAATTATTTGCAACATTAGTTTGGTTTTCTAGCACGTTTAAATAACGTTCAAGAGGACACCTGCTTGGTTAAAACTGTTCATGTCATTCTCAGCTCAAACATGCAGGAAATTGAACTGTCAATTTATACTGTTAGCAACGCTACTGGACCGTAAAGAAACTTCATAATCTTCAAGTTCAAAGTAGTGGTTAGGAATTTACAAGAGGGGTTATGGGTCTGTTGTTGGATGCTTTCACGATGGCTGTTAAAGTGGAGATTGGACTATGGTGCAATTGATCTAGAGGTTGTGGTTGATTTTTGGTCATTTCGATTAATTAGGATATTGGTTTCTATTTCGATCTGTATAAGATAATTTATTTAATTTTCAAATGTATTCACTAGATAATAGTTTCTTCCTTATTTATAATTATTTGGACAACATGATTAATTTTCAAGCTTGTGTATAATAAAGTTCACCTCGATTCCTTATTTGTTACATTGTACTTGATTACATCCCTTTACATCGCAACGGGTGCTCAACTATAAAGAATTGAGGTTCAAATATTTCTAAGGGTTCCCCTGAAAGATTGAATGTTTAAATATAAATTTTGTACCTTTCTATGAATAATTGCACTCGTTTTTAGTTGTAGGCTTATTAGAAAATTCGATATCCCGCCACATTGCACGGATACACAACTAGTATAGTATAAAGTTTAAAGTAAATTACACTTTTGGTACATATAGTTTTTGATCCGGTAGCAACAATTCCATTTATTACATTGATGGTATCTATCCTTTTCATTTTGTTTCAAATTTAGTCCCCTACTCATTCCAACCAAAAACTCTCTTAACATATGAACATTTTGACATTTTTACTCTGAATCAATCCTAAAATTAAAACATAAATCAAATCAACCAAGGTTTCTCGTTCCTTTTTTATCCATAAAAAGGTTTTCATTCCATTTCTAGGTTTGGTTGTCAAAAGAAGAAGATGGGGAGATCATGGTATCTATTTGGTCCTCATTAGAAATGCATGTATGTACGTACGTATGTATGTACGTACGTATGTATGTACGTACGTATGTATGTACGTACGTATACTACATTAATGGGTCCTTCTATGCAAAGATATCTGTTTCATGATTTTCAGAAAATGAGATTTTGAGTTCTTTATCTTCTTTGGTTCAAGCTTGAGGATAAATTTTTTCTAAAAGCATTTGGAGCTGATCTTGTTCTAATGAATTCCTCAAAGGGCGTGAAAGAGTAGTTCAAAAATCCAAAGAAATGGTGAACACCCGCTTACATGCTTCAACCATTTGATAATCCTGTAAACCCAAAGGTACTATCATCATTCTATGTTTAAATAGACAAATATTAAGTATTAGAATACTTTTCTACACTTAGAATGTGTACGATGTGGATCATTTTGGAAAGAGGTGTCTCATTACAAAAAAGGACGATAATGACAGACACACAAACTGAAATAGATTCAAATTTGGTAGGAATATCCATTGTTGGCTCGTAACTATAGGGTGAAAGAATATCTGATTCAGTTATCAATCACAGATATGGTGGATGTCTGGAGGATACAGTAGATTTATGGCACTATTTTTTTTGTTCTACACTGACAACATATTGTGATGTGTGTAATGCATAACAACCCATTCAATCACCCAGTAATTTTTCTCATATGAGAATTTGTTGGTCTCAACCATCGGATTTGTAAACAATATAACTAGCATCCGATTCAAACACTTAGATAAAAATTCTTATTACTTGCCTTGTAACATTGATATCCGATAATCAACACCAATCGAATATAACTAAAAAAGGATTAACATCTAAACCTTAACTTGTTAGGATCAAGACTTCATATGTCAGTCAAACATCTAATCCATAGCTAAAATAAATTGTGAGATAAAATCTTTGGTTTGATATTCTCCATCGGACTTGGAGAACCCATTATTCATCGTGTATGTTTACATTTAATGTTTTATACATGTATGTGATACATAGTGATCTATGTGATCCAATGAATGTACAAGCTAGAGGAATTTATAGATACTACATTACATTCATTGATGATTATGTGTATTTGATGCGACATAAATCGAAATAGTTTGAAATGTTCAACAAATATCATAATTACATCATGAAGTACATAACCAACTTGGCAAAAGTATTAAGAATATTTAATCAGATTGAGGTGGTAAATACTTAGACCATGCATTCCTTATTCATCTTAGAGATTATGGTATCGTATCACAACTTACTCTGCATAGGTCGCCACAATGGAACGGTTTGTCAGAGATAATGAATCATACACTGGTAGACATGGTACAATCTATGATGAGTCAACTGACCTTCCGACCTCTTTTTAGGGTTACGCTCTAGTGGCAACTGCTTTCAAATTAAACTAAGTTCCATCAAAGTCTATTAAAAAGACACCATATGAGATATAGACTGGGAGGAGCCCTAGGATAACTATGGGATACTATTTCTCTCACCCTCACAAAAACAAAGTGTTTGTTGGTCAGACTAGTTTTTCATGGAAAATGAGTTTATTTCCAAAGGAGCCAGTAGGAGGCATATAGACCTTGAAGTGGTTCAAGATCCAAATATGCCAATAGAGATGGAACAAGCACATACAACACAAGGAGCTGTGAATACACAAGGGGTTATGGAAAACAGTCTGATACATTAGCACAAATTGTTTTCCAGTCTGGTAGATCACAACATGAGCCCTAGAGGTATGGACTTCTCATCACTTAGACTGTGATATATTGCTCATGGATGATGAGCCGACTAACTACCAAGATGCCATGGCGAGCCCCGACTCATGGGAATGGATAGATGTTATGAGCATAGAGATTGACTCCATGTGTGAAAACCAAGTTTGGAACTTGGTGGAACCACCCAAAAAGGTACTACTTATACGGTGGAAATGGGTCTTCAAGAAGAAGAACGAGATGGATGGTAATGTGATTATCAATAAAGCCCGATTGGTTGTGAAAGGTTTCAAGCAGATTCAAGGAGTTAATTATAATGAAATTACTCATTAATCGCGATGATTAAGTCCATTAGAATTTTACTATCCATTGTTGCATATCACGATTACAAAATCTGGCAAATGCATGTGAAAACGACCTTCCAAAACGCTAAATGAGAACGTATATATGGTACAAACTAGAAGTTTTGTTGATCCTAATGATTCTCAAAAGGTATGAAATTTCCAATAATCCATTTATGGATTAAAGCAAGCTTCGAGGAGTTGGAATCATCGTTTTGACGAATAAATCAAAGAGTTTGGTTTCTTGAAAAACAAGGATGAGCTTTGTGTCTACAAGAATATTAATGGGAGCATAGTGTCATTCTTATTATTGTATGTAGATGACATACTACTGATTGGAATAATATCCCAATGCTTGAGTCTGTAAGGCTTGACTAGGGAACTGCTTTTCAATGAAATACTAGGTGAAGCAACCTATGTGTTAGGCGGCAGGATAAAGATAGATTGCATAAATTGTTTGGCTTAAGTTAGAGTACATATATAGACAAAGTACTAAAACGATTTTGTATGTTAGAAAGCAAGAAAGGGTTCTTTCTGATGTCTCATGGCATATCACTTTTAAAATCGCAATTTCCCATTACGGCGCAATAAAGTGGACAAATGAGTAAGATCTCGTATGCTTTGGAAATCAGAAGTATCATGTATGCTATGATATGTACTCGATATGATGTCTTGTATGCCTTGAGCATGACGAGCATATACCAATCAAAGCTGGGTGATGATCACGGGATTGCAGTGAAGAATATCCTAAAGTACTTACGAAGGAGTAAGAATTCATTCTTAGTATACAACGGTGAGAAAGAGTTGAGTGTAAAGGGTTACATTGATGTAATCTTCCAAATCGATAGAATGATTTTAGATCACAATCTGGTTTTGTGTTTTGCCTAAATCATGGTGTTTTAAGCTGGAAAAGTTCCAAGAAAGAGAGAGTAGTTGATGATACAATGGAAGTTGAATACATTGAAACATCATATGCAACTAGGGAAGTTGTTTGGATAAGGAAATTTGTTTCTCAACCCTGTGTGGTTCCAAGCAATAACAGTCCTATAGAATTATTATGCGATAGCAATGGAGCTATAACACTGGTGTAATGTTTGGTTATTATTAAGTAAGTACTTATATATATATATACATATATATACATATATATATATATTTATGTGTGTGGTGTGGTGTAAGTAAATTTGGAGGTGTGTGTGTGTTTTCATTGGCGGCTATGCACTTGCTATAAATAGCAAGTGCATATGAATGAAAAGGGGTTGTTATGGAATTAGTTTTTTTACAAAATTGAGAGAAGAGAAAACCGCAGACTTTAAATCGGCTAAAAGCAAGCAAGAAAGAGATATACACTGAGAAATGGCAGATAATCCTAACCAATCAGAAAGGACTTCTACCGGTTATGGAAGAGGTCGGGGAAGAAGAAATGTAACCCAAGGAGAAGACCCGGAAAATGTGATGACAATAGAAACGCTAAGTCACAGCAGGGGTCGAGGAAGAGGTAGAAGTATTAGATAAAAACTCATATGGAACAGGAATTGTGGGCACAAGAGAGTTCAATGTCTGGTCGTGGAAGAGGAAAAACAAGGGGTGGACACAATGTTCCTGACCCCGGATTTATTACTCAGGAAATCCTAGCAGCGGAGCTGGGAAAATTCCAAGAAAGTTTGGTGAACTTATTGGGACGTACGACATAAAATAATCCAGAAATAGTAAGAGATCCTGAACGTCAGGAGAAAGCCGGAGCTAGTACACCGGCAACAGGTACATCTGTGCCCCTTACTTCATCCTCTGTTCATAAAGGAGGAGATATTAAAATGTTTCTTGCCTGTAAACCTCCTAAATTTTCTGGTGAACGTGACCCTGTCAAAGCCATGTGTTGGTTTAAAGAAATTGAGTTAAGTCTGCAAATCAGTAAAAGTACAGAGGAAGATAAGGTCATGTTTGTTGTATCGCGTCTGAGGTCAAGTGCTTTATATTGGTGGGAGATTCTATCAAGTTCAGATCCAAACATTCTGAAAACCATGCTATGGGAGGAATTTGTGATAAAGTTTAAGATGCAATATTGTCTTGAAGCAGCAGTATGAAAACTAGAAGATGATTTCCTTCTTCTAGAACAAGGAGATATGTCAGTTCGTTAGTACACGAAACTCTTCATGGAACAATCCAGTTTGTTGAAGCTTACATTTTATCAGAAAACAGTAAAGTGAGAAAGTTGGAGTCTAATCTTCGGACGTATGTGATATCCAGGAATCCGACAACATTTCAAGCAACAGTTGATGTTGCTGAAATACTGGAACAAGACATCAATCAACAACCACAAGAAAGGGTTGGATAGAAAAGAAAAGGGGAGGCTACAATGACTGATTTCCGTAGACCAAGGTTTATGGAAAATTTGAATCGACTAGCCCCAAGGTTTGCTGATAAGGCATGCACACGATGTCATAAAATACATCAGGGAAATTGCAATACAGATTCACGAGTATGTTTTAAATGTCAGCAACCAGGACATATAGCTCGAGATTGTCGAATGACGTAAAGATGTTTTACTTGTAATTCCTCTCAACATGTCAATGTTGATTGTCCACAAGCTAAGAGACGAGGGTCTGGTTTTGTTGGAGGTCGAGGATCTGGATATTTAGGAGGCTGAGGACCTGGTTATGTGCCAACAGGGCGTGGGCCAATGGATAATCGTGTTAACCCAAGTGGTCGAGGAGAGATAAGACGTCGGGAGTCAAATGCAAAAGGGAGAGCCTTGCAGATGACGAGAGGCGAGGCGGAAGAGCATCCTGAAGTGGTGACAGGTACATTCCTTGTTAATTCAGTATGTGCCAAAGTTTTATTTGACTCGGGTTCAAATCGTTCTTTTGTATCATCGTCGTTTGTTAACTGCACACATTTAGAATCTAAGGCGTTGCGTGAAGATTTAATTGTGGAAACAACAAACGATAGTGAAGTATTGGTTAAGGAATCAATATATGAATGTTTCATAAGTATAGAAGGATGTGAGGTGCCTATACAATTATTTCATTTTCCTTTAAGGGAATTTGATATAATTATAGACATGGATTGGTTAGCTAATTTGTGACGAAAAGATGATCCATATAGATTTACTGGAAAAAGGAAAGGTTGTAATTTATGGGGATCGACGAGATTGTTACTCCAGTCTTATCTCGGTGTTAAAGGCCCAGAAATATGTACAAAAAGGATGTGATAGTTTTATTGCCTATGTTATTGACATCAAGAAAGAGAAAGAAAAGATGAAGGATATTCCAGTAGTAAAAGAATTTCTAGAAGTATTTCCAGAAAACTTGATAAGTTTACCTCGGGAACGAACAATAGAATTTCATATTGAATTACTTCTTGGATCAACACCCGTTGCACGTGCACCATATAGATTAGCTCATTATGAACTAAAGGAGTTAATGTCGCAATTAAAAGAATTGTTGGATAAAGGTTTTATCCGACCAAGTACATCTCCATGGGGTGCGCCAGTATTATTTGTGAAGAAGAAGGATGGATCAATGAGAATGTGCATTGATTACCGAGAGCTGAATAATTGACAATCAATAAAATAAGTATCCTCTCCCAAGAATTAATGATTTGTTTGATCAATTGGTTGGGGCTACTTATTTTTCGAAAATTGATTTACGGTCTAGTTATCATCAATTGAAGATTCGGAATGAGGATGTGTAGAAAACAACATTTCGTACACGTTATGGTCATTACGAATTTCTGGTTATGCCATTTGAACTCACAAATGCACCGGCTGCCTTTATGGACATGATGAATAGGGTGTGTCATCCCTATCTTGATAAATTTGTGATTGTCTTCACTGATGATATTCTGATATATTCTCGGTCGGAAGAAAAGCATGCTCATCATTTGAGATTACTCTTAGAACTGCTAAAACAAGAAAGATTGTATGCTAAGATGTCAAAATGTGAATTTTGGCTACGAGAAGTTCAGTTCTTGGGGCATGTTATTTCAAAAGAAGGCATTAAAGTGGATCCTTTAAAGATTGAAGCCATTGAAAAATGGGAAGCCCCAAAGACTCCAACTGAAATAAGAAGTTTTCTTGGATTGGCTGGGTATTATCGTAAGTTTATACAAGATTTCTCTCGTATATCAACTCCATTGACAAAGCTGACAAAGAAGAATGTGAAATATGAGTGGAATGAAGCACAAGCTCAGGCCTTTCAAATGTTAAAAGATAAGTTATGCAGTGCGCCAATTCTATCCTTGCTAGATGGAATGGAGGATTTTGTGGTATATAGTGACGCGTCAAAGATAGGTTTGGGTTGTGTACTGATGCAACGTTGAAAGGTAATTGCTTATGCTTCAAGGCAGTTAAAAGATCATGAAAAACAGTACCCTACACATGATATAGAATTGGCAGCGGTACTGTTCGCTTTGAAGATATGGAGGCACTATCTTTACGAAACAAAATGTCAAAATTTCACAGATCATAAGAGTTTACAACATCTATTCCATCAGAAAGACATGAACATGCATCAAAGATGATGGTTGGAGTTGGCTAGTGATTATGATTGTGAAATTTTGTATCATCCAGGAAAGGCAAATGTAGTGGTCGATGCTTTAAGTCGACAAGAGAAAAGTGGAACTATCAAAGCTGTAGCTTTACGAGTCGAGTTACTACCAAGTATTCATGAAGAGTTGCAAGAATTTCAGCACGAGTTAATGAAGGAGGATAAGGTTAAACAAGAAAGATTAGGTGGATTGATATCTGTATTTGTAAAAGATGACAGAGTTTTGGAAGTTTCAAAACAGAATTTGGGTACGATGCTATGGTGGTCTCAGGAAACGTATCTTGAGTGAGGCTCACAAATCACGTTTTGCAAGTCATCTAGGTACAAATAAAATGTATCGGGATTTGAAGCAACATTATTGGTGGCCAGGTATGAAGAAGGATATAGCTAAACACGTGGAACAATGCATGACGTGTCTTCAGGTGAAGATAGAACATCAACGTCCATATGGTAAGTTGCAATCTTTAGAAATTTCAGTTTGGAAATGGGATCACATCACTATGGACTTCATAACCAAACTGCCGAAGACATCAAAAGGGTATGATGCTATTTGGGTAATAGTAGATCGGTTATTCAAATATGCACATTTCTTACCGATGAAAGAATCATATTCAATGGAGAGATTGGCAAAATTATACATTGATGAGGTAGTGACACGTTATGGTGTTCCTCTATCAATTATTTCTGATAGAGATAGTTGGTTCACTTCTATGTTTTGGAAGAGCTCCCAAAGAGAGATGGGTTTACAGATTAAGCTAAGTACAACGTATCACCCTCAAACGGATGGGCAAAGTGAATGAACTATGCAAATATTAGAAGATATGCTTAGAGCATGTGTAATTGATTTTGGAGGATCATGGGATAGTCATTTGGCACTGGTGGAATTTGCATACAACAATAGTTATTGAAATGTCCAAATTCATACAATTCTGATCATGATTTTCAAGAATAAGAAATAAGATGAAGTTTAGATAGAAATTATCACCAAATCTCTTGTATTGCTTGAGAGAGAATTACAATGCTAATCTAGAATTACAGAATTTATAATAACTAATTACAAAGCTAAACACTATTTATACTAGGAAAGCATTAAACTAACTATTACAAAGCATATAAAATAGAGAACTTGAATACAATCAATAACGCACATAGTTGAACCCAACATTCTCCCCCTTTGGATTCAAGTTCGAACTCTCGTGAATTTTGTCTTTCTGAGTCCGAGAAGTTTCTCCAACCTCCTTAGAGCATTCCGGTATTGAATATTCTCCTCGAGAAGAATTATGGCATTGATCAACAAATATCTATCTTTTGAGCTCATTCTCTCCGACTCCGCAGCTCTGTCATTGTTTACTCTCTTCAAGTCAAGTGCCCGTCTCACCAGTCTAATTGTACCATCAGAATACTTGTTTAGCTCGCTGAATCTCATAAACTTCTTTACTTGATGCTCAGCAAAGTATATAACTCCGAACTCTGGTTTTTCGAGAATCATGTAAACTGGATAGCCATCAATGTCTTCCAAATCTTGATCAGGTCTCTTCAGATTGATGATTCTTTGATTATCTTCAAGACCCATCTGAACATCAATAACCTAGCCACCTTAACATGACACCGCACAAATCTTCTAATTGCACTGAGAGCAACAAGAGCTCCATCTTTCTTGTTGGTCATGTTTCGGATCTCACAGTACATATACTCCAAGTCTTCCAAATATAAGTTTGAGAAATCAGCTTCACTAAATCTCCAGACTTTCCCATCTTGTCGTGTCACAGTGAAGACCGGATACAAGACTCTGAGAAGTCTTTGAGCATCTATCTGTTTGATTGACACAACTCGATGTTTGGTCCTTACTTCGCTGATAGGCAGACGCTTGGCTTTCAGAAAGTTCTTGTACTCCAAGCGATAATCTTTGGTTTCCCAATGGATACCAAGAATTTTATCACCACTCAGAACTTTACGATGTCGGAGGAAGATACCAAAGTAGATGTCTTCAAGATATGGCTCTCGGATCCTAGCCCTGTCATACTCTGGAATATTGGCTCTAATTTCAAATGGCACATAATTCCTAGTAAAAATCTCTGTAGGATCAAAAGGCTCTCTAGGAGCAAGAATATTAGATGCCCAGCTATAGCTGCAGTGGAGGATTCCGGTACTGTCTGACGATCATCCTGAAACGGGAATACTGGGTCTTCCTCATTGATGTCAGCTTCAAAGTCAAAGTATAACCCAGATGACTCGCCAATATTTTCAATATCTTCTCCAAAATCTTGTTCTCCACCCAGTATAGTAGCAAACATGTCATTGAACCCGCCATTGGCAGACAAGTCCAGTAGCAACCTTGTTCCTACTGTGAAGTCCGCCGGCTTTTCAACCATTGGCTCGATCGCTGGACTTGTCTCCATATCTTCCTCATTTTCTACAACAATTTCCTCGATGATTCTTTCCCTAGTAGATTTCGGGGCAAAACCTTTAACATTCACATCTTGAGCAACTGCTCACTTTCAACCCTTGGAGCTTGAGCAGACATCTCAGCCACCCTTTGTCTTTTCCTCTCCCCCTCATGATGATCTGGATCTTCCGGGTCATCATGCCTTCTTTTGTGTGAGGTGGCCTGAGCTATGCATGTCTCTTCTAGAATAGATACCCGTTCAAAGAGGGCATCAATTGAGCTTTTAAGATCTTGGGTGTTTGATGTGATTAACTTACTAACTTTTGTGAAGCTAGAAGCAACCACATCTTGAAATTCCAAAAACTTTGAGGCTCAAACGGGAGGGTTTTCATCCATCTGTTGTCTCAAGAGCCCAACCAAATCTGCATCTTCTGCATTGGGATTTTGGGATGCCATCAACTTAGCATAAAGCAGCGATTTGAGTTCGTCTACCGATTGCTCTTGTATCCTCGGAGGCTCAAGCACAGGCGGTGGTGATGGCGCAGATGGTTGCTCTTCTTCAACTTGCTCTTTTCCCTTCAATAGTCTTTTAATACTAGCAATCTGTGCATCCATGTTGTCTTGAACAGCCTTTAGGGGGCCGTCCAGATACTCCCTTGACACAAAGTCTGGTAAACTAACACCTGGATCACTTAGATTACCAGTTGAAACAACAGTTAAGTATATTGTTGTGCCTACGTTCAGTGTTGGCATAGTGATAGCACTGGTAGGACTTCTGGTCGGTCCTTGTGGGAGGTCAAACGATACTACTCTGGTCATTCTGGCTAGTTCAGTGTTGGCATAGTGATAGCACAGATGCTCGCGACTCATGTGTACCTATGTGTATCGGCTCTAGACTCGAGGTGCACAGAATCGAAGTCGTAGGCTAGGGCAGCGGCCTACTTGTTTCAATGACTACATTCTCTAAATGAGAAGTAGATAGCATATGTGCTACATCCCCGTGTTGAAGTGAAACAACTGGTTGTTGAGAACCAGTTGAGTGGTCAGGTTGGGTGTGCAAATGCATAGTTGGGCTAGCTATGTCTTGTTCAATACCAACATTCAATGAATGAATGTCTATAGTAGATGTGGGTGCCCGGCTATGTGCATCCGCTAGGAAAGGAGCTTGTTTTTCATTTTGTGCTCCACTCACACACTCACCATGTTTTTCTATTTCCCATTCACTCAACCTCTCATCATTTTTGACTGTATCTCCCTCGTCTCCTTCTCCTATTGAAACACCTTGTAAAATACGATCATATTCGTCATATGTAGCTCCATATTCAACAACATCGAACGATAATGAATGCAGACTTGGGCAAGTCTGTGGAGCGTCAAATTCTGGAAAGATCTCATTTAAATCATCAACCACTGCTCCTATTTAAATATTCTGTGAAGGAATCGGTTGAGCATGGTTGTCAGCATCGTCATCATCATCATTATCATCATCACCGTCATTATCACCCAGAGCAACCTGATTGTCGGATTCAGTATCTTCCAAACTTGATGAAGTTGTAGAAGTACTATCAGTTGCAGTACTGTGCTGATCAGAGTCTCCCCGCTCCTGTTCACCCCTCTCTATTACATTTTCCCTCATCATGCTGCCCTGTTCAGGTAACCCGTGTTCCTGAACTCTCTCTTCTACAGCTAACACCTCTCTCTCAGCTGAGGCATGGGGTGATCCCGGGGTAAGTTCAACAGGTTCTGGCTGAACTATAGGATCTATAACTCTCCTATAATCTATCACACATTAAGCCCTCTGATCAGCAGAATCCAAGTCTTCAACTTCATTATGCTGCCGAATTCTAGACATGACGAAAGTCGGCCCCATTTCACTATTGGATCTGGCCGAGATATCTTCATTTGAATTCATCATCGCCTTCGAAGGAAATCTCTTTGCGTTCACGAGCTCCACTAGTTCATTCCATATAACAAGGGCATAGTCATAGTTGCGAGAGAAGACTATCCTATGAATTTTTTTTTAGGAATGAACTGCTACAAGTGTCTATTCTCGCAGTCTTTGAAGTCAGACATCTGTTCAGGATAGAGAAAAGTAGATGCCAGATTGATGGCAGAAAACGCCATTTGAATTGAGACGGGTTAGTCAACTATTGCGAGTATCCTAACCGTTTGATGTCACGGCATAGTTGGTCATCTGTTACAAATTGCTCATATCCTGTGGAGCCTGGTCCAGGAAGACGTAGAATTGTTCTCAATCTTTTTAATGTCAGTCGGCTGACATATTCATCCACAGCTCCTTTGAAGTATAAGGTTTCTCCATCTTTGGCCAGTGTTAAGGTACTCCAAAATTGTTGTAAATACACGATAGGAACAGGTGTATGGGCTGAATGGGAGTATGCAATAAGGTGTCCTCTCAGATTTTCAGGGATAATTTGGTATTCAGCTGGCATATCGAAACTGAAGGAATGGTTATTGGGTTTTATGTCAAGATACTGGCACTGAGGAAAAAGTGTTTCAGCTGGTATGGGTTCATTTAAAGGTTGAGGAAGGTTTTGGATATTGTCAGATCTGACAAAGGGAATATGTGATTCCTCGTCAGACTGATGTTGTATTTCCTCCATTGACCTGTAAAATATCTGAAAATATTAGAACCCATATTTTTCAAACAATTCAAATACTCAAAGTAAAAAAAAAATTAAGACTTAAAAAAATTGTAAACAAAAGAAAGTTGAATTAAAAAAAATTTACTAGAAAAACACTTAACAAAAAAAAAAACTAAACCAAACTAAAAATAAAAAAAATCTAAGACATAAAAAAATCTAAAAAAAATGAATTAAAAAAATAAAAATAAAAACAAAATGTTAACCGGATTAGAAGTCCGGTCAACTTAAGAAAAGACAACA